AATAAGTATGCTGATCTCTAAAGTATGCTTTACTAAATAAAACCAAAATTTAGTACATATATGTTAATAAATTCAAACACAAAAGTGAAGCAAAAGTGCATCAATTTGATAAATAACTTCTTCATACGTAGTCACGAGCATGCAACCCTTTTCATTATATATAGTTTACTTCTATTCAATAAAATAATTATACTAACATTTCTCACACCAACTTCCTATTAGCTTGACAAATGCATTCACCTAACGTTAATTCGACAAGCAAATGTGCAATATCCATGCCATTCATACAATTGTTGTAATCATCTATCACTTTTGGAATTTTTAAATTTTTTTTTGATTCAGATCCAAATACTGTACGCACCTTTACTGCATTAGTGCTTGTTTCTCTTGGCCGCCGTCTTTCTCGCTCCACCTCCCATTTGTCACCAACAATTCCATGAATTGTTGTCGCCAATGTTACAAGACCATTGTCTTGCCAAAAAAAAACTAACACATGATTCACTACAACGCCAGATCGAACATCCCAGTCGAGTTTGGCACTTTTATCCACTTTTAATACCTTTGGGAAACCAGAAGCAGTTTTTCAGATGGTTCCACAGGCACCAATGTTAATTTGCTGGAGATGTTGAAAAAGAGGAACGCTGGTAAAGTAATTATCCATATATATATTGTATGAATATTGGGGAAGCTGCTCAACGAGATGATTGACTAAACATCCAACTTGGTTAAGACCACGCACTTTCGTCACATTACTTGGAGAGACACGCGATGTTGGGAGGAAGGTGTAAGTATACCCAGATTCACACAGAGACAAAATTTTGAAGCCCTCTGGAGTAGGTTTGTTCTTAATTCTAACAGTATGAATGCTTCTTCCAGAAAATCTAACTATCATCTCATCCACTGAGACGTTTGAATTTGGTACATAAAGTTGCTTCGAAACGTTACGGACATGCGAAAGTAATGGTTCCAGCTTATCAAAATAATTATTAATCACTGCAGTAGGGGCGAAACATGTAAGAACCTTTTAATTATTTCAAACCGTTTTAGTGACATTTGTTTTGAAATATAATGAATTGGAAGTCGTTCATTCTCATTCCAATATTGATCTAGGGAGGGCAATTTATAAAGTCCTTGATAAATGACAAGAGCAATCGAGATAATAAGCTCTTTACGACTTAAGTCCAACCATTGCCTACCGGTCACACCAGCACCTTTTGTTAGTGCATAGAGATTTGTGTTATCAACAATTGTGTCCAGCATGGTGATGTTAAAAAAAAGAAAAAAAAAGTCAATCGGCTTAGAGACATCTACATTAATATGTAATGGCAGCCGAACAGATGCCCGATGCAGTGGTCTTTGGTGAACGAATGGTTCAAAATCAGAGGGTGGTGGTGGTAATTCTCGTTTGTTTTCTGGTAATTTACGTTTTTTTGTGCGGGTACTTCCTGTGCCTATTTCTGTTTTCTCCTCCTCTTCATCATCATCTGACTCCAGGTCATCCAAGTAATGCCGACGATTTGTTAAAATGGGTATGAATTCTTCATCATCCTCTACATATATTTCCCGAATTTCAGAGGAAGACGAAACAAACTCAAGTGTAGAGGACATGTTTAATTAAGATTTTATTTTCTTTCTTTTTTTTTTTTTTTTGTTCACGATAGCCTTTAACAATTTGAGTTTTTTTTTTTTTTGTCACGGTAGATAGACTTTTATTAACAATTGGAAATTTCATTGCAATTGATCAATTTTATCCGGCTACTTAAATACACAATCCTGAATTAATGTTGGGTAGATATCTGTGAGCAAGAATTTAGTTTATGGGCCTGAGAAGTAATTCACGAATAGGTCTAGCAATATTATCAAAATAGTACAATGTATGCGAAGATAATTTTAACCCGATTTGAATGGTATGTTAACGGACGTGGACGTCAATTGTCAATTTGCTTGTTTATTTTTTTAAAAGTTCACATGCGTAAAAATTAAGGTTTACTTTAAAAACAAAAATCAGGTTTATTTTAAGGGTAAAAAAATAAAGTTTATTTTAAGGAATGCAGTTAGAATTTAAGAACGCTAAAATCATGTGTCTATTCGATCACACGCTTTAATTAAAATTAGATACAGGATCAGTTTGAGGTTTGTAGCGAATATACATATTATATGTAAAATTGCTTCTTGACAATCTTTATTAGTGTTTTAGAGTAGGTTTTGATGGCCGTATTTTTTTATTTCTCATATTTTTACTTTTTCTTCTTCGCCGGGCTGATTTAATTCGCAACTTTAATTTGTCGATCCACCTAAAATATACATTGCATTTATGGACGCTTTAATAATATATGATCAGCAATGTGGAATGCTTTTATTCTATATTAGAAAAGATGGGGGCACGTTTTAGAAAAATTTCGAGTAATTGCCTAAAAATTGCCAAAAAATCATTTTAGCGTTCAAATTTGGACGCTAGACGGTTTAAGGGATATTGATAGATTTCTTGATTAGAAAGTTGTGGTTGCTGTAAAATGCTATATAATCGATAAAATTCATGCTACAATTGTTCAATATCTTCTCCCTGTGCACCAAAAATAAAGTGCGATACTGGAAAGTTTTTTAACATTTTTTTTTTATCCGAACTCATCAATGAGGTCCAATTCCATTTGTTATCTATATATTTAAAAAATTCAAATTTAATTGAAAGTTCTTTAAATGTTGCTTCAATTGCTGGTTTAATTTGTTTTTCAAATTCTTTTTTTTTGATTAAATCATTAAACAAACATTCCATCAAAACGTCTGATATACGTAAAAGTAAGTGCAATTTATCAGGAATGTAATTTTCTTGATCAATTGCAGGAAATAGGGATGGTTTTTTTTTACCTAATTAAATATTAATTTTAAGATTGATAAGTCTTATACAACGCCATCAATTTTACTGTCATATGATTTTTCAACGTCTATTAGATTAGGATCAGATATAACGTAAAGAAATTCAAAGCAAACGTTCGCTTTGCAAAAATCGCATTTACTTCAAAATTTAGTCTAGTAACTATTTTTGAAGTCTTAACAAAAAAATTTCCTGTAGAGTCCAGAATTTATTCAGATATCTGTTTTACTATTGATATCCGGATAGTTATTCGAATATTTGTCTTATCAGATTATCTGGATATCAATAGTAAATAGATATCCAGATAAATTAACTCTAATTTCCTTCTTCCTAACCTTATCCTAAACTCTATCTTAAATGTAAAAGAAGTTTATAATGTTTGTTTTCTGAATATCATGTGGCAGTAAAATCGATTCTATGCCCTATCAAAATTAGTCTAATATGATACTTTAAAAAATGGTATAATTTACTTATATTTAGAATTTCCGGTATTTTCCCAAACCCGATCTATATCCCATCACGATTCAATGTCACAATTACAATATAGGCAAAAATAATTGGCATTTGGAGCATTTAACCCCATAATTATATACATGAATTTCAATTTCCGCAGAAATATAATTCTACAGACCAAAAAATTCTATCGTTATTAAAAAAACCATTATTCTTAAGGTCAAAGAGCTCATCTTCAAGTATACGACTAATTTTTGCCAGCACATCATACTTTTCATACCCAGCATACAAACAAATACTTAAAATAGAAATAATTAAATTAATTACCGTTGAAATTAAATATTATTTACAGTTAGACCTTTCTAAATACATAGTAAAAGAGCGGCAAAAAAACCTTATATTTAGAGAGATATAAGAAGGTAAAAATAAGTGTTATATAAGTTGAGACCAAATAAGGCCATAAATTTACGAGGTTTTTCATAGACTATGTATTTAGAGAGATCTAAGAGATCTAACTATAAGTAAAGTCATAAAACTTACCAATATTGATTATTAGGTTTTAGAACTTCTTTACCTTCATTTAGAAGACATACAGTCATCATTACGTGGTTTTGCTTTCAGCCAACATTATGGCCATCACCTCCAAGTTTTAATTTAATAGTATCTCCTAGAATAAGTATGGGTAGAGAGGATTGCTTCCAAATAGGAAGAAGAATAGTTAAAATAGATCTAATTGATCTATAGGCACCATCCCCAATTTCACATTGATCAAATACCGCTCCTTCGCCTTGAATACGGGGTTGACTATTTATATCACTACCAACACTAAAAGTTCTAATCTTAATTGTTTTATTAATTAGATCAGTTATCTCTATTCTTTGTGCTGCAACATGATGTTCACGAATAAGCTGGAGTTCTACGGCAGCCAATCTACGATAACCATCTTGGGACAACAAAGATTCATCACACGCCCGAACAACGGCATCTAATTTAGAAATTTCTACTTTTTTATTGAATGGCTGGTAGTTTAAATTAGTAATTTCATGGTTAAAATTCAATAATTGAATGTTATGTACATGAAAAATGGGCTGTTCATTTTCTGTAATGAACTGATGTCATGTGAATAATTTTGAAAGTTCCTTTTCAGAATCTTTTCCAAAAGCAGAAAGACAAGAATTTTGTCCTCTTATTGATTGTACATCAGACAAAGGCTGCTTTTTAATATTTTGTTTACTAGGATCTATGATATTTCGGTGAAAACCTAATTGACCATCTGAATTCCTGCTATTAGTAGTTTTCACATACCACTCGGATGCTTTTTTTTCATCTTTAAGAGTGGTTATGCCATATCGGTAACAATCTCCAACATTTAATTGCCCGTCTAAATTCCCGCTATTAACAGATTTCAAGTACCATTCGAATGCTTCCTTTTCATCTTTAGGAATACCTATATCATCTCGAAAACAATGTCCAACATTTAATTGCCCATCTGAATTTCTGCCACTAGCAGATTTCATGTACCATTCAAATGCTTGTTTTTCATCTTTAGGGATGCCTATGCCATTTCGATAACAATGTCCAATATTTAATTGCCCATCTAAATTTCTACAACCAGCAGATTTCATGTACCATTCAAACGCTTTCTTCTCATCTTTAGAGGTGCCTATGCTATTTTGATAAAAATTTCTGACATATAATTGTCCATCTAAATTTCCATTACTAGCAGATTTCATATACCATTTGAATACTTTTTTTTCATCTTTAGGAAGGCCTATGCCATTTTGATAGCACTTCTCAACACTTAATTTTCTATCTGAATTTCTATTTCCAAAAGATTTTAAGTAACATTCAAATGCCCTCTTTTCATCATTATGAGCATCTATATCATCTTGATAGCAATTACCAATATTGAGTTGTTTATTAGAATCTACTTCAATATGTGTTTGTTAAACATCATAAGCTAAGTTTAACCCAAATTTCCGTCTTTTATATGGACTTGAAAGGTTTCTATCAAATACTACTAGCTCATTATAATGTTTATAACATAACTGGTCATCTAATTTAAGTTGCATCTTTAACCTTGAAGCAGCTTCACTTTGTACAGCTTTAGGCAAAAGGTTTGATATCAATTTGCGAAACTTTTCTTCAAGATCGTTCTTGCCACATACTGCACATGGTCCTGTATTTTATGTTGTGAACCCTTTGGCATTGTTGCTAGTAAAAGTTATGCCTATTTTGGGATCTTGAAAAATTATTGTGGGATCTTTAAATATCGGGTCTTGTTGAACATAAATATGAGGTTTTCAAGCCATAATATTAAAAAACAAACCCT